GCTTATTACCTCATGAAGGAGGCAATGTGGAGAATTCTAATGGATGTCAACCTAGAATTGCATTAATTAAGAGGCCCATGATTACCGGATACAACGCAGAATCACCATTATTTGACCTTTCACGTCATTATCACTAAAACGCTAAACAATCACATTTTAAGTAATCTTTCGTAATTTAAGAAAAAACAAGCCAGCGGAACTACAGCAGCATCTGCAAGTTAGACTAATAAAGTAGGAAAAGGAAGAACCACAGCTTTCCAATTAAACTGAATTCGGATGTTATGACGATAAATGTAGAACCATCTTTAAATAAGCCATTCACAAATACGAATAACATAGTGAGAAATAAGTAAGCAGCCCTTATAGTCGACATTATTGGTTACACACAGTAATGTGCATAAACGGTTTACAGAAACGACAAGTTGATAGACGAAACACTTACGCAACATTTGAGTATCTTTGCTCTTTATACGTATTATCCATGCAGTGGCTCCTTCAGTCCAGTGCAGAGAAAGGTGGAAGACGAGGGATTGATTACCTCAAACTCCTCCTCATCTTCCACCTTTCTCTGTATTGAACTGAAGAAGCCACTGCATTGCGAAACGTTTCCAGAAAAAAATAACAAAATGTTGCCCAAATGTCTCATTTAACTACAGTACGAATGATTTTTGGTGAAGACTGAACGGTAGCTGGTCGAATTCTGCTAAGTGCTGGCCACCTGACGTCGGTGGGTGAGTACGCTTAACAACCAAAGACATAAAACATGTAAATATCTCATCCACACGTTTTTACTACCTTATTTCTTTACCTGATTTTACGATTACAAGAATAACTAACTCTCCAACAGGGCATCGTACAGTCACAGCTTGCAAAAGATCGTGAGAGTAGCCATTCAAACACCAGTTAATGGTGTTTGAAACACCAGTTAATGGTGTTTGAATGACCATGAGCTAACAAAAGGAGCTAACAACAAAATGAACATTCTATGTGACAAAACTCACTCCCTTTAAACCTAATGGAAATAAACGGGCCACTTTACTTTTCTTGTCTTCCTCTTTAGTCACAACCCTTTTCACTGCCCTACCCGATCCCCGTCCTCCTCCAATTTACTGCTATCCCTCTCATGGAATAAAAACAAAATCACAATATTTTTCCAGTCATGTGTTTCGTCAGCGTTTGACTTTGAGTATATAATGCAAAAATAAAAAGAATAAGTTTAAAGGTAATAACCGTATCAGTTATACTTTCATTAATTATACCGTAAATTATGATAAACATGGAAATACTTACTAACAACTATTTCGTCATCCAAGAAGTTTCCAGCAGAGACAACGTGGGTGTCTTACCTTTGCTGTTGTCATGGTGTTGGTTGGTGGAGGTGTGATGCAGGATGCTGCTTCTCACCATGTTATATACACCCCCATCATGGTCACGACTAAGTAACTCCACCCTCCCTTTCCCTATTGTCGCTGATAGACCACTTCTCTCCTGGTCACTGCTGAGGTATGTCCTTAACTTAGCTACTGCTAGGAAATAATTTAATTATGATCACTTCTAGGCTTTATTTTTTGTGTATACTGCTAGGATGCACCCCTAGCCTGGTCATTGCTAGGCTACACTCCCGAGGACACAACTAGGGTAAGACCTCGTCTTGGTCACTGCTTGGCTTCGTTCTACCAATGTTCTTTGTTTTATATGCCGTTAACTTCGTAACATTTATGCTGCACCCATATCTTAGTTTTAATATCATTCACTGTCTTGATTACAGGTATTCCACGAACACTTCTTGGCCACAGGTACGCCACGTACCTGTTGGTAACAAACCCCACGCCTCCCTCTTGGTAACAAAAACTCCATGCCTCCCCCTCTTGGTAATAGGTACTCCACACCCCATATTGTATACCACAATCCCTTCCCCCTTCCTCTTGGCCACTGATAAACCATCCCCATATCTAGGCTCTACTTAGGACACATCCCTCTCACATTAATCACTGAGCTAGTCACCCGCTCCTCCACTTTCCCCACATTCACCTGTTTTCACGCGCAGATTCACTGCAAGGCCATCCTGGACGGTCATTCAGGAAGGTCAGCTCACTGAAGGACCTTCCCACCACAAAAGAGTACTAAAACAGGCTTATTATCTAACGTTCTGCATGATTTCATTTTGGTTAACATAAGGCACGAAAGAGTATTTACTCTTACTAATTCTATGGTTTCTAGAGATAAATATAGGAAAGATAATTGTGCATGAAAGATCATGGTAATAGCAAATAGCAAAAGGATTTATGATGTGATTCTACTTCTCTACTGATTTTTTTTCTTCCTGCAAGATTTTCTTATATAAAATAACATTACCTACTCAAGTCAACTTCAAATTTTTAATGCAAGTATACTGTATCTGTCCTTGATTGAGTTTTCATGTGATGGTCTGAGAAAGCTTCGTCTCATAAGCTTCAAACTTCCAACACTGGTATATCTATATCTTTTAAATATTTTGTGCCATATTATGTAATAAAATATACCTATTGGTAAAAAATAATGAAAAGATGGGGTGGTAGGGGAAGTGGAATATTCAAATGGCTTCAGGAAGAAATCCAATTATTCTTCCTAGAAGCTGTACCTTTCTCCAGAACATCACTCCATCTGAGATCATACATACCCAGGATGACTCGAGTATGGAACACGTTCGTACAGCATAATGATGTCAACGAGATAAAGTCAGTTGATCAAATGAAAATGCTGGCCCACAGATGGCTCCAACTTCATCCTGTTCCCTACTTGTATGTCTCATAACAATAAAAATGCTTTCAAATGAGCTGATGTGGATAACAGCTCTTAGCTTGCCAATAAAGTTAGGAATCCTTAACTTGTAAATAGCTTGTCAATGAAGCTAGGGATCCTTAACCTTGTCAAACCCTGTGTAGAAAAAAACAAAAAAAAATCCTTTTTTATCCGTTTCTCCTAGGCTATAGGTCCCACAATTTACACTGAAGGAAGAAAGATAAGCTTTTTATTTAATTGTTTAGGTACCAATTAGCCAATTTTATTTTTAAGGTGATGTTGAGGAATTTTCCTTAAAAAAACTATGTATGACTTCTGAACGACTTCACTTATTAAGGACGGATGCATTTTGTTGATAGGATATTACCCAGTAAGCTTAATCTCTGTTGATGCAAATTTATTTTTTTCCGGACATAGTTAACAATAATCCACAGATAGTTAAATTCTGAGAAAAGACTGGAGCATCCCTCTTCTTATCAAATTCACAATTTCGGTAATGGTGCGCTTTGTTTAAACTAAGGTCTGTATTTTTTGGGGGGAATGTGTGAGTTTCAAAATGCTAGTTTAATAGACTTAATGTGTTCCTTGCAGTAACTGGAACATGCTTCATCCGATTGACTTCAAACCCTAAATACTGGTGTTTTAACTAGATGAGCTTCAGGGTTGATCATAGGCTTTGTAAATGCCAGTTTACCATAGTAAATGATAGTATTGTTAAAACTACAACTTTAGTTTTCATGCGACAGTTTGTAAATATTTTATGTGATCAGCGTAAAATTTGAACTCTGATATATGTTATTTAGAGAGAGCTAAGAACTGTTGTTGCCTTAGCACCTAAGCCCAGCAAAATATAAAAATTTATGTGTGCGCGTATGAATGTGTATGCATATGTCTGTACATATGTGTGTACACTGCTCAAACACCATGCAGGGAAAATCATGAGGTACCAGTAATACAAACACCCCTGTCCCCGCTCTGAACCACTGTGCAAGAATCAGATTTCACAAAGGCATTATGTCATTCCAGTCTTTCTCTGCTGGGAGATACAAAAGAATAAGACCCCAGATTCATTAACACCTCTTTGGCTTGTCTGATTCCTAACAAAACTAAATCTCTCTTCTTGGTACGTCGCTGTGTCCGCTTAAAAAGAAAGATGGAAGAATTAGGCTAGTTGCCGTGTGCTGCACTCCTGTTTGACGGGTATGAAATTACGGTGCTACTTTGGCTTGTTATCTACGTTCATGAATCTGCTTTGGGATGATATCTACACTTACATTGCGATCTACTTACATTGCGATCTACACCTTATATTGCAATTAACACGATACCTAACATAACCTAACCTTACCTAATCTAGGTTAGGTTAGGTACCGTGTTGATTGCAATATAAGGTGTAGATCGCAATGTAAGTATAGATATTATTTTCCTTGTAGATAACAAGCCAAAGTAGCACCGAAATTACTTCATGGGAGGGTGTCCATCTAGGGATCCTCTCTCTTCGTTCATTGTTATTTTGCAGCATTGTATCGGCACACCGATTCCGGTACCGTGGTCTTGTTTGCCCTAGATATAAGGAAAAGTTTGTAAGGCATGAAGAGGATAATAACATCAAGAGAAGCCTCGCAATAGCTGGATGCTCATCAGTAAGGGAGCCCCGTAGTATTCAGATGAATCTATCCTGCGGAGGGCAAGCAGGGGGTGTTGGACTATACACTTGCGAATTTACCCATCATTAAATATTTGTTCCCATAGACTCAGAGATCCTCGGCCCATGGGAAAAGAGAGTATCTAAATCCCTTAAGGACCTAGGCAAAAAGACTCATCAGGGCAACTAGGGATCCCAGGGCAGCTAGTTGTCTATTCCAGCAACTGAATGCTGCATTTAAGAGGGATAATGCCAGATGCACCTTGGGTACTTGGCCCAGCTCAGCTTGATACAGAGTAGACCATTCCCATTTTTTTCGTTGTAATAAACTGAGAGAGCTTCTTATGAATGGCTTCAAACTAGTAAGAGCGGTATGTTATACTGTAGAAGATTGAGAATGTTACTGAAGTATATACCATGAGACCAGGCCTCATGGTGGATCAGGGTCTGATCATCCAGGCTGTTACTGCTGTCCACACGCAAGCTGATGTACGAACCACAGCCTGGTTGGTCAGGTACTGACTTTATGTGCCTGTCCAGTGCCTTCTTGAAGACAGTCAGGAGTCTATTGGTA